TGCCATACCATAGGCACCACAACCATTGTTTCATACCATGTCGATACCCCACCATGGGTATATTTGCAATATTATCAACTCTCCACCAACGATGTAAATTCATTAGACTGAAGTCATATCGCACTGTACGAGTACCTAACCCTGTTCAGACAGACGACAGTTGTGCCATACAGACATCACATTTGCCCACTAACCAAAGAACCTGTCCGTGTTCTTATATTTATTTTCTTCATGCTGAAGTAAAATAATAATCTTATTTTCTTGAATACTGTATTTTTATTTAACCACCTGCGTTTCTACTGTCAAATCTGCTACAGGAGGGCTAACTGCGGTTCACTCTTTATTAATTGACGTTCAATACATTACACCACCCGTCGAAGTCGCCCCAGAAGTTAAATGATCATTCAAATGAACCAATATAATTGTAATAAACAACGTTAAATTCTTGCTAACGCTCACGTCATTGATCATCTTGAAACCTACACCTGAAGGATTGTTCGTTTTCGTACCTGTAAAGGTGTTTTCTGTCTATTTCAGGCTTTAAACAGTTTTTGAAATCATTAAAATAATCCACAATATACGTGTTCGCAACTGAAACCGAATACCACGCAAAATATTCATTGGATCATTTTGAAACAAAACCCACTTTCGTCAACGACTCTACAAAGCCCTACTCTTTAAATTTTTCAATATTTTAATCCATGTTATCAAAATACGTGGTAGCTCTTTATCTATACACGAACAGTCGTTGTTATTCACTCAGATTTACAGGTAAAGAAATATTGTTTTATATTTTTCGTTTGCTTTTAGCATTACTGCTGATTATTGTGTTGCTACAAATGACACCGTTTATCCTATTTTTAAACAGGTCTAGTAAATGATATAAACGTAAGTTGATTATTTATACAGTTTGAATACTTTTGTTTTTATACACGACGTACTTGACGTTAAAAGCAGGTAATTTGAAGTTTTTAAATGAATTACCCTACTAAGTATGTTTATTATGCTGATATTTAGGCTGAATATTTTATTCTTAATTTCAGAAATGTTTAAATGTTTTCCAACTGCCAATATAACTAATCTAGCTTGTCACCCCAACGTTATTGTGTATAATTTATTTTGATTCAACGGTGCATTTTAGTTGTTTCTTCATGTCTTATTAACAAACATTATTTTGTTTTGTTTTAGCAGAAACCAAGAGTATGTTATTCATATGTTTGGAACGCTTCAATTATCATTTTTCAAATACAAGATTTTGTTAAAAGTAAGTTAGCATTGAAAGGAGGTGATTTATAATCGAATTGAGTGGGTGTTCTTAATCTATGCTTTTGGCATGCTCATGGGATGTTTTAATTTTATAACAATTAAAGATTGAAATCTATTCATTTCTATAGTCATGAAGGTATAAAATTAGAATATGTAAAAATTGCTGACGATGGATTTTAGCTTATCGCTATAGAATTTCAAGTTTGATGTAAGTAATTTGTTCTTATGTTTAGTCAACAGTAAATAAGGATTCTATTGAGGCAAATTTGATACTGTACTGTCGTGTTTCATGGGCCAGACATCACGTAGGTGCCTATTCACACCATTAAGTCTCAGTCAATAATTTGATGTCAAAACGAGATTTTGTTAAATTAATTGTAAGTATTCTGATAAATACATTTACGTTTTGTATAATTTATTTTTTTTAGGATGGTTGACTATGTATATAGGAATGTCTGTTTATCGAATATTGGAAATGCTATAGCTTACAGTGATGTGTATTTGGCCATAAGACAACGATTTTTAAATGAAAACTGATTAATTTTATTAAAACTAGTTTTTAAATATTAAGCAATTGTTTACAATAATGTTACTAAATGTGTTAGAATTTAGTTAGGTCACTTATAAACAGTCAATATTTATTGGTTCATCCTGAACCACCAAAACATTTCATCACTTATTTAATCTAGATTAGTCTACTTAATGTTCATTTTTGTTTTAATATTTTAATAATTCTAAAACTTTTATATCATTTCAAATGTACGAATATAACTGTCATATACAAATGTAAATTTTGTTTTTTTAATAACACACTCAATACTCATTGAACTTCTTGAAACCTACACCAAAACATTTGTCATCACTTATTAATCTAGATTAGTCTACTTAATTCATTTTGGTTTTTAATTGTTTTAATAATTCTAAAACTTTTATATCATTCAATGTACTAGTATTATACGCATAACAATTGTTAAATTTTGTTTTTTTAATAACACACTCAACACTCATTGGATCATCTTGAAACAAAAACTATCAGATTCCTTTTTGTATTTAATTTGAAGAAAAATTAACATCAAGTTCATAATGATATTTTTTGTTTTAATTTAAAAGAAAAACTAATTTTCATGTAAAATATACTGCGTTTCATACATTTAGAAAACTAAAAGTTTAATAACACACTGAATATTTATTGGAGAATCTTGAAAATGAAACTAAATAAATCTTGCTTTCATACTATATACTGAGAATTCAATATCAAGATTTACTGTGAATAGTAATATACATGAGTTGTTTAATTTGCATTGAGAAGGTCTCTGGGCCATTCGCATTTGAGGCGCCTTGCTGGGTTGTTTGGAAGATCTTTGGTATGAAGTTGAGTGATGTTCCATGTTGAAGTGCAGGCGGAGATTATATTTGATAGCTGTTTATTTAATGGTTGGATTGGGAGGTCATTATTAAGAGTAGCATTTGTGACGTACCAAGGGTCTTTAGCAATCATGCGGAGGCAAATAACTTAGAATGCTTGTATGATTCTAGTGTTCGATGGGCTTTATACTTTATAAATTGAAATGTGCAATTTTACAAAATATCTATTAGAAAATGTTGGCTAATTAATTAAAATAATTTTGCATGTTATGAACTGTACATTTGGTAGATTAAGACTGTGAAATACCAATTGTGTTTCCATCTGCCTGTAGTCTAAACAAACAGATCTATATATTATTATACAGGAGGTGTGGTAATGTAATACATGGAGATAATTATCAGACAAAATAAATTTATAAATGATGGTTCTATATTTATACATTAATATCATAAGCAGTTGTAATATTTGCACGAAAAAAAAATGGACATCATAGTTTCACTTAATATACCAACAAACATTTTAAATTAATAACTGCGTCCAAATAGGGTAAATGACCCAGCCATTTGTCCACATTCTGGATGTATACACAGATCGTTGGATTTTAATTGTTCTTCTCCTTTAGGTTGTTCAAATGGCACACATAATGACTTTGCTCCCATTGTCGAAGCTCCAACTTCTGCAGTACCATCGTCCCTACGAAATAATAAATATGAAAAGATTAAATTATATTAAATCTTTAAATAATATGTGTACACTATTTGCATACAATGTGGTGTCCCGCTTGATGTTATCCTCGCAGGCAGGACGTCCACAAAATGGTATCAATAATAAACGTTTTGCTGCTAAATGTGCAGCACATTCAGACCATTTACGACATATCACAACATTTTCTTTCATTTCCTTTTCTGCTTTGGCGTACATATCTCGCTGTATTTGATTTAATAATTCAGTTATTCTTTCAACCATCTTGTCTTTTCCACCATCATCGTTTGAACATCCCTCTAAGGGTATGGTTAGTTTCTCTCCATTATCTCGCCGAACAGCTACCATTTGGTTTCGATCCAAGTCTTTCGGTCCAATTTCTAACCTTAATGGAACTCCCTAAAATAAAGTTTTACAATATAACTTTCTTAGGTCACACATAATAAATAAATACCTTTAATTCCCAGTGGTTGAACTTCCATCCAGGTGAATAATTATCCCGCAAGTCTGTATCTGCCCTAATTATTGTCGAAGGCTTAAGAGGTTGGCCAGCACTATTGTCGTTTTCATCATCATTTTCTATCAAACTATCTCCTGTTAAACGGTTACACACATCTAAACAGGTTCTAGTCAAGTTCTCTTTGACTTTGTTTGCTGTACTAGCGCCTACACCGCATGGCACTATTATTACCTAAATTTAAATTATAACAGGTTTAACGAAGTGTCATCAAAAGCTTATTTTAAAGTAATGATAAAATTCTGGAAACATTTATATTTACTTGAATAGATGCAATACGTGGAGGTAAAACAAGCCCACGATCATCGCCATGAACCATTACCATAACACCAATTGTTCTTGTGGTCATGCCAAATGAAATCTGATGAACAAATGTTTTTTCATGTGTATCTGGATGTTCAAAATGAACATCAAACATATTGGCAAAATTGGTACCCAGATAATGTGAAGTGGCGCCTTGAATTGCTCGACCACTGGATGCTATATATGCTTCACAAGTAGTAGTAAATTCTCCTCCAGCAAACTTTTCTTTTTCTGTTTTTTTACCTTTTATTACAGGTACTGCCAGCATATTCTTGTACACATGCTCATAATAACCTAATGTTATTAAAACATCACGTTCTGCTTCTTCTCTGGTTGCATATGCATGATGGCCTTCTTGCCATAAAAACTCTCTAGTTCTCAAGAAGGGTTGAGGGTGTTTGAATTCCCACCTCACAACACTGTTCCATTGATTGAGTTTTAAAGGTAAATCTCTATAGGATTGAATCCATTTGGCAAAAGCTGGATACATCCCTGTTTCACTAGTTGGTCTTATAGCAATAGG